AGCTCGACATTCCGGCCCGGAACACACATTTTCAAAGGAGAATAACTGACTGTAGCATTGTTTTTCAGATAAACAAATATGTTAACTTAACATGTTTCTTAAATATCTGCAAACATATTATGGTATTTTTATGCTTTAGTAGAGTCAAAAACTTACATACAGCACCTTTAAACATGAGACACACTTTACTCCTAGACCAAGATTTCGTTCACTTGTCATTGCAAATGTGCAAATCTCCCTGGATGTAGATAAGGTTACACTATATTACAAGTTGAGTTACAACAGAAGCTCTTTTTAGCAACTTGTGAGGTAAACTGGATTAATTTCAGCCAAATAAATATATGAAGCCTATTTATTACAAGAGTTTGAAGCCTTAGTCTTGTTATGACAGTTGGAAATGGAATACGCCGCAATCAAACCCATAATGTTGAGCCAGAAGTCAGTCAGTTCAACATTCCAACACGTTTTTTGACACGTCACTTCCTGTTTGTTGCTGCCGTGTGTTTTGAGTTTGAGCTCCGTCAAGTTAATTCTTTGTCGTCTAATTTTTTATCTTAAAATCAATTTTATACACCATAATTTTCGTTTCTATAACGTGTGAATATATCCCCTATCGTATTCTACAACAAAAACAATCAGAGCGCCTTGTTATCACTAGTTCTATTTTGACTTCCCGAGTCTGCTATTAGCATATAGCCCGCTAGCATCGCCAGCGTGGTTGCCGCTAACCTCGCTTACATTACAAATACTCTATTCACACACATTAATGCACATTATTATTCTTTAGTTTGGGTTAAACAAATCAATTTTGCTTGGTTGGAACAGCAGCTACGCTAATTATGTCTCTATTTGTTTCTCTGTTTTAGGATTTACACAAGCTTCAGTCTGTATCCAGAACACCTGAGAAGAGATGATGCCAACCCCTCAGAGGACCTCAGATGATGCCAACCCTGAAACTACATACAGAACTACCACATTTTGCTATTAGTTTGATTGCATCATATAATAATTGCTGTTAATAGTGTTCATCGTCTGTTTTATTACGTCTTAAATTGATTTTTCCGTACATTTCTGCCATATGTACATTAATTGACAGTCACCACTGATAAGCTACCACTAAATATTGTAGAAACTTAATTTGCTGTAAAGTTGCTTTGCAATGATTTGTATCGTGAAAAGCGCTGTACAAATAAACTTGGCTTGACTTGACTTGACGTTTTTTCACAGAAATTCCAACCACTTATTAAGACCACAATTTTTTTCTGGGCCACTTGTAACATTGCTTGTAAGAAATCAAGCTTAGTGGTGAATATTTGCTTTATTTAATTTACATTTGCATTTCATTTTAAGGATGAGACTTGAAAGCAACTATAAATTGTGTATTTTGACAATAACAACACAAGCACAAAGTGAAAGCCAAGAAAATGTGTCAGCAGTATGGAATATGGTACTAATAAATATCTAACGATGTATGTTTATGATACATGCTCTAATTGAAAGTATTAAGACTTTATAGTAATGTTGTGAAGGACAGTTGGTTGTCTAAATAGAAAGTTCACTTTCTTACATTTGTTAAACACAGAAAAGGATGAATGAGTGGATAGAATGAGAAGGTATCTGTGTAATGGAAAATAAAGAGCTTGTTAGAGATTCTTTCAACAGATATCAATAGAGGAATGGGTTGTAGATGAGGTAACAAAGTGGGTAATGGCAGGCCTGTTGGTGTCTAAATAACACTGTTGTCAGAAGTGAATGAGGAAAGATAAGGAAGAAAGAGGTGCATGTGTAGATTTTAGGACCAACTGCATTTGAGCATGTTGTTTTCCACTTCCACAAGTAAGGGCTAATGTTGAGTCAGCAGGCGAACTGCAGGCTACATTATGTGCTTATTTAAGGACTATTCATCAAATAAAGAACACAAATTATTGATTTGTATATTTATAACACTGCAATAATATTACAGTAATATTAATACTGAAGTCCTTCAAGATCATGCTCTCTACAGTTGATAACAGACACAAGATAGCAGCAGTTGTGTTGGCATGAAATAAGAGAGCGAAACTGATTTCTGAGAAAAACAATCAGAATTCTGAGATATAAACTCAGAATTCTGAGAAAAAAAGTAACAGTTGGTTGTCTAAATAGAAAGTTCACTTTCTTAAACATTTGTTAAACACAGAAAAGGATGAATGAGTGGATAGAATGAGAAGGTATCTGTGTAATGGAAAATAAAGAGCTTGTTGGAGATTCTTTCAACAGATATCAATAGAGGAATGGGTTGTAGATGAGGTAACAAAGTGGGTAATGGCAGGCCTGTTGGTGTCTAAATAACACTGTTGTCAGAAGTGAATGAGGAAAGATAAGGAAGAAAGAGGTGCATGTGTAGATTTTAGGACCAACTGCATTTGAGCATGTTGTTTTCCACTTCCACAAGTAAGGGCTAATGTTGAGTCAGCAGGCGAACTGCAGGCTACATTATGTGCTTATTTAAGGACTATTCATCAAATAAAGAACACAAATTATTGATTTGTATATTTATAACACTGCAATAATATTACAGTAATATTAATACTGAAGTCCTTCAAGATCATGCTCTCTACAGTTGATAACAGACACAAGATAGCAGCAGTTGTGTTGGCATGAAATAAGAGAGCGAAACTGATTTCTGAGAAAAACAATCAGAATTCTGAGATATAAACTCAGAATTCTGAGAAAAAAAGTCAGAATTGTAAGATGTAAACTTGGAATTATGAGAGAGAGAGAGAAGCTGAACAGAACTGTGAGATTTAAATTCGGAATTTTGAGAAAAATGTCAAGATTTGCAAAATGTACATGCTCTCTACAGTTGATAACAGACACAAGATGGCAGCAGTTGTGTTTGCATGAAATAAGAGCGAAACTGATTTCTGAGAAAAACAATCAGAATTGTGAGATATAAACTCAGAATTCTGAGAAAAAAAGTCAGAATTGTAAGATGTAAACTTGGAATTATGAGAGAGAGAGAGAAGCTGAACAGAACTGTGAGATTTAAATTCGGAATTTTGAGAAAAATGTCAAGATTTGCTAAATGTAAACTAAAAAAAAAAAGTCAGACTTGTGAGATGTCACTTTGTAATTCTGTCTTTTTTTTCCTCAGAATTGTGAGATGTAAACTTGCAATTACAAATTTGTCATTTTTTAGTTGCAGTTAACTCAATTAAAGGTATAAACATGCAATTCTGAGAAGAATTGTGACAAAATTCGCAATTCTAAATCTGAATTGTGAGAAAATGTAAACTAAAAAAAAAAAGTCAGACTTGTGAGATGTAAACTTGCAATTACAAATTTGTCATTTTTTAGTTGCAGTTAACTCAATTAAAGGTATAAACATGCAATTCTGAGAAGAATTGTGACAAAACTCGCAATTCTAAATCTGAATTGTGAGATACAAACTTACAATTGTGAGGGGGAAAAAAAGTCATAATTACCTTTTAAAATTAAAAAAAAAATCCGTGGCAGGAACATTCTTTCATGGAACACCGCTCTTGACCAATCAGGATCAAGTATTCCAACAAGCCATATAATAATTTGATCTAGACACCAAAATTGTATCTGATAAACTGACTTGCTTTTTTTTATGTTGTTTTGCACGGTTTTCTTCTAAACACAGCTAATATAAATGTGCAATTATTTGTCATGCTTATAAAGTACATTACATTAAAATTTATTAAAGGGCAGGGGATATTAAGTTGTGAACGAGTGTTGTTTAGGGTGCATGCATGGTCAGCTGTCATATTAGAGATGAAGTTATTAATGGGATGTGAGTATGAGGGTGGAGGGTGTGTGGACACATGCTTTTGTGAACGAGTGAATGGACTGATAGAGTGTACATGAGATAAAGTGATCATCAGGCTGAGCGTTCTCTCTCATCAGTCTAATAGGTTTGGTTAATGTTCACCCTTCAGTAGGGTTCAAAAGTCAAGCATTTGTGTGAAAGACACAAACCAGTAAAAACCGAGGAACAAAAACCAAGAGATCTGAGCCAAGAAAGACAACAGAGGGAAAACCATGATCACAATCACAGAGTTTCAGAGTGAGTGTCTTTCTTTCACTGAATATACATTAACCACTGTATGAGTACAGTTACAACTCAACTCAGACACATTGCTATGTTCACACACTTAATGTAAATTGTTGGTGTTCAATTAAATGAAAACAATGTAAATCAGTACATTAAGAGTGGCCTGTATTTTAGACATGTTTCTGTTTGCAGTGGCTAGAAGATTTCCACACAGTGTTCTCCTTTTTAAATGATCACAGAAATATCTGCTTTATTGACTAACTAAGAATACAACTATAACCAATCTATTCTGACTTGGATTCTAGAAATCGGTGTGGGTCTGTCAGGATTCGGCGTGTTCTTTGTGCTGTTTGGAATACTATTGTACTTTGACTCGGTCCTGTTGGCATTTGGAAACGTAAGTGCTTGTAATGAGCTGTTTAGATATGACGCAAGAAACTATGAAGATCTTTGGTCATGGGAAAGGCTTCTTAAAGGGATAGTTCACACAGAAACTGAATTCTGTCATTCTCTATCAATCTTGTCACTTTTATCAAATATTTTACATTTTGAGAGTGAGGGTGAAAGACATTTTTATTGGAAATACTTTAAATTATTTTTTGGGGGTGAACAATCCATACATTACCATTCAAAATTTGGGTCTGTTTTTTTAACTTTTATTCAAGAATGCATTAAATTGATCAAAAGTGACAGTAAAGAAATTCACATTGTTACAAAAATAAATAAATAAATCGATAAATGCTGTTATTTTAAACTTTCTATTCTTCAAAGAATTCTGAAAAAATACATATATATTTTCAACACTGATGTTAATAATAAATGTTTCTTGAACCCCAAATTAGAATATTAGAATGATTTCTGAAACTGGAGTATTCAGCTTAGCCATCACAAAAATGCATTAAAATTTATTAAAGCACCAAAATTACTTTAAATTGTAATAATATTTCACAATATTTTATTTTTTTACTTACATAAATGCAGCCTTGGTGAGCATAAAAGTTTTTTTTTTCTTTTCCCACAAACATCAAAAAATATTTTGATCGATAGTGTATAGGCATATATTGTGTATTTTCCAAACTTTTTCCCTCCTATATCAGATTCTGTTTCTCTCTGGTCTGGCCTTCATCATTGGCTTGAGGAGGACGGCCCACTTCTTTTTCCAGAGACAGAAGCTCAGAAGCTCCGCCTTCTTTCTAGGAGGCGTGGCTTTAGTTCTACTAAGATGGCCTCGTATTGGCATGCTAGTGGAGACCTATGGCTTTGTGCTTCTATTTAAGTAAGTAAATAGTTGAATCATATCCTGTCCTCATGTGCGAGGCAGACGCCTCCAAGATGTTGCTACTTCAAACCAACCAAGATGCAACTAATTGTGGAACCTTTATTTTACTATTCATTACCCTAAATACATGCTATTTTCTCTGCTTGAATTGGCATTGTTTTTAGATTGTTCCTATCAAATAACTAAATTCTATATTGTTTGTAGGTCATTCTTTCCAATGGCTTTTGGATTTCTTGCAGCAGCCTTGAACATTCCTTTTTTAACTACGGTATGGAACAAAAGCTGTTTTACGATGCTTGGATCAAAACTTCAATAAATCTAGCAACCAATTAAATTTAAGTGCAACCAAATTATTATTTTTTTAAATTATTTTTAATATATAACTCTGCAATTAAACATTCAGTGAGCGGCTAAAAAATATCTGTTGTTTATATTCTCTCTCTCTCAGATTTTAAACAAGTTATCTGGAAATAGTTCCTCAATGGTGTAAGAGCAGATGCTGGAAATCTGGAGGTGCTTCTGCAGTGAACTGTTCAAATTTTATTTTTATTTTATTTTATTATTACCTTTATAATATGTTGAATAAACTCACCATAACATGCCCAGTGTTCTAGTCAAGAATGTTATTTTTGAGTTTATTTTAAATATATCTCTTTTTTTTATTATTAAAAAAAAAAATTAGGATTTGAAGAGCGCAAGATGTGCGTAAGTTTGCAATTTTGTCGATTTCCCTCTCGAGATGAACACAAGCAAAAATGAAATGTCCAGTGATCTTTAAAATCTTGTTGATGTGCTCTCAGCCCGTCAAGTTATGAATACATATTTTAGAGCTGTGCTTTTACAATCATCTCATTTCTATTTCATCTGTCTGCTCCCTCCAACTTCAATGAACTACCCCCTCAAATAGAAAATGATATTGAGTTCAAATATATAAAGGCTTTGTGGTTGCGGAATGTTCCTGTGAAAGGGATGGGTGGTGGACCCACCCCGGGGCAAAAAGACAAGATCAGAGGGAAAGAGGGAAGGGTTGTGGAGGTCTGCGATTCACTGAGGAGGCTATGACGCAGGTAATATTGTTGTATGAGAAAGATAAATTATGTTTGAAGGTTGTATGAACCAAACACAACCTCCATACCTGCAAGTGTAAAGGTAAGCCATTTACTCCAATTATCATGTTTAGTTGCATAATTGTCAGTCTATGTGTGTATATATGCATTCTATGTGATGGTCATTAGGGTTTGGAGGGATTGAATGATATACAGTATTTAAATTTGTCAGATAATTTATCAAAGCGATTTACAGTGCATTGACGTGTTTTTTTTAAATATATATATGCATGTTAACATTTTGTTTTTGGATAGGTGGTTTGGTTAGCCAAGTAAAAACCAAGAGGGTCTGAATCTGCTCTTAAGTCCTTTTCATAGAGCTTTTTTTCTCATGCAATAGATAATTTCAGCAGCCTTTTTTAAATTGTTCTTATTTTCCTTTTATGTTGCTATATAATTATTGTTTGTTAGATAGATCAGTAGCATTTTGGTTACAAATTTATATATATATATTTTTTAATAAAATATTTTTATTATATAAATGTACTATAAATATATTTTTTATAATACGATAATTTTATTATAAAATATTTATATTAGAATATTATTGTGTTATATTATTATTTATTTTTATATTTTTGTATTTAATTTTTTTACATAAGTGAACAGCATTGCATAGGAGCAGATGTGAAAGGCTGATTTCTGATGCTTTTGATAACTTAAATTCTCTTTGAAGTGTGTGTATCTCTCTCTCTCTCTGTGTTAGGGTTTGTAAGTGTGTGTCTGATCTTATGAATTGAGTATGAAAAGATATATATATATATAATATATATATATATATATATATATAAATGTCATTAAAACGTGTGTTTTTTCGTCTCATAAATAAATCCTCTAAAAAGTACCCATTATGATTCAGAAAATAACCATGTGTGTTGGTTTCTAATTGCATTGCTTTCTTGCAGAAACTAATTTTGGTTCCAAACGCATTAAAAATGATGTTACTTACCATCATTTTGATGTTGTCAGTGGCAAAAGGCGATACATACCCTTCAGGACATTTTCGGTATTATTTAGAAGGTAAGTTCAGTGTTGTCTTTGTTAATTGGCAATAACTTCTAACAAAGCATCAATATAGTTAATATCAAACAGTTACTAAATAATAGCCTTAATGCAACAAAATACAATGTAACTTAAAAATAGATATCTAAAATTCTGGATGCATTGTTAAGTTTAATGGAAAAATACTCTTCATAATGTTGATTAAAAAGTGACATTATAAGATATATTATAAGCCTGTATTGGACATGAGATGAAATGCAGTAACTATAAAGCATAGTTTCACTTGTAGGCCTTGGTCTCATAAGCTGTATCTCTCAAGCTTTTGTTGTATTTCTAGATGAAACTCCTGAAGAAACATCACTCCAGGTTCTCAGGGGAACTGATACTCGTCCCACAGCTGGATCTCCTTCTCCCAAGCTCTCAGTGCACTTCTCCATGAGTGCAGGTCCTCAGCGAAACACACGGTGGTGGTCTCCAGAAAGGCCTTATTCAAAAAGGAGGCAGAATGTTGCGTACTACAATCTCAATTCCTTCGGCCTCCGCTATGGAAAGAGAGAACAGAACATGCTTGCAGGGTTTAAACAGAAGATACCTATAAAGTGAGGTCCCCTGGGCCTTTTTAAATCTTGTGTATTGTTCTTTGAGGTTTTATATTAATTAGAAATGATCTGTAGATCGATCTGTAGACATAACATTAGTGGAATAGTTCACAGACTTTAGTAAATTGTTGTAATGATAACTGTGAGGACACATTTTGCTATAGTAATTAATAAAAATGTTTTGGAAAACAACCTGAATAAAATGACTTTATTAGATAATATGACTGAATCAGAGCCTCTTTTTTGTGGTTTTGTGTACTTCCTGTTCACACATGCTGATGACAAACGTTGTTTGAAAAAATCTTGTTCTCAGGCTTATCGACCTTTATAATTACAAGTAAACTGTGATCATGCTGGCTCATCAAGAAAATTTGGAAATTATTCAAATATGTACTGTATACATTTATTCAAATATTGTAACTTAAATAGATTGTATAACCACATTGGGTTCTCTGATCATTTCCATGTGTGTGTATATATACAGTATAGTATGTATGTATGTATGTGTGTGCGTGTGCGTGTAAAGCATGGTAAACTTGCTATATTCCTGCACTTACAGTCAAAATGAACTGTATTAGTGTTTAGGTAGAAATCTCATGTAACATTCAGAACGTCGCTTTCAAAAGCAGGATACTTCAGTGCTGTATCTTCAGTGTTTTACCTTATTTAAAACTGGTGACGTTCAAGCACAACTTTCCACTGACTCAAGATCATCACTGAGCGTTTCCGTGGTTGTGCTTTTAAGGGGCGACTTGATCAGCACTTTGATAAAAATATTAAAGATCATTATAAGAAGGAATTTCAAAATCGAAATAATTTGAGTTTGTGAAGGCATTATACACCCTGTGTTTATTATTACTCTTTGTGTGTTTCTGATATTATTTTCAAATACATTATGATGATAGTTGAGAAATGTAGACTATATAGTTTAATATAAAACATAGAATAATAATCATAATAAAATCTTTAAAATAATAATACAATTTTTATGATAAAATATAATAATAATAAAATCGTTCTATAATAATATTCATAAAGAAAATGTGCATTGTGCAAAATACTAAATAAATGTTAAATGATTGAAAACTGTTAATGATATACTGTATATAATACAGCAGTTATTTAAACAGTTAACCAGTTTTTTGTAAGATTTGAAAGTTAAAATATAATAAAACAGATTTTTTTATTTAGGCAAGCACAGACATACAAAAATAACATCAAGAGTGGGAAACAATTCTTATGTGACAGAATGATTTATTGTGAACAAATATATTCAAGATATAAATGATACTTGAAATGAATCCGTGACATGCAATTTGTAACTTTGTAACAGAATGTATCTGGAACAAAGAAATATAGAAATTGAATAGAGAAAAACAGCACACATTGCATAGTTGATCGCATGTATCAGTTTGTTTTAATGCAAAATAATTGTCTTGATTTCTGCAGAAAACAATTCTTCAGATGCCACAGATCGGTAATTCTATAATAAATCTCAATGTATTTATTTTTTTTACTAAAATACCAGTTGAATTTATCATGTCTAATTCTGTAGCATGAGCTATGCAGCAAGTATTTGATAGATTCACAATGTAACACATTTAAAATCTTTTTACTTTCAAGCCTTTGAGTTGTGCAGTATTTGTATTTTCTTCTGTGTGAAGTGATCAAGTTGCTTGTAATGGCTTGAAACTGTTCTTCTCCTCACTACATAACTGAATCTTGTGATGATTCCAAATATCAATATTTATTTCTGCATTGTTTTAGTAAAAATCTTTATCCGTTGATTTACGGCAACATCTGCTTCCTTGCTGCCATAGTTCTTATTTTCCTGATACTTCTGTTTAAAATGTTCATCTACTTGCTTATTTATTTCTTAATATCATAGTAAATGAGATAAGACGTAGATGTAGATGCAGCTTTGGTATGTGTGATTTACATTTTTTTTATTTTATTTCATTTTTTTTTACCTCAGACGTTAGAAGAGACACTATCCACATAACCAGCGACACGAGAGAATCAACTGCTTTGTGTCAGAATAATGCTTTAAGTGTTTCCCCTACTTCAGGCGATGGTAAAAACACACATTTTATAGTAAGTCTTACTGTTCATCCACTGAGGCTTTCACGCTAAACTTTGGCCTTGTCAACAATTATGTGCAGGCTCGGTAAGTAATTTGAAAACCATTAACTTCTTCCTCATACATCTGAAAGCCATCCATTAGGTATTCCAAATGCGTTACACACCATTTCAAGAATGTTACAATTCTTTATTGGCATTTTATTTATTTATTTTTTCATATGGGGTTTTGTTTTTGTGTATTTTTGTCAGCTGACAGATCTTTCCACTAATTCTCAACGGTACGTAAGCCTTGAAGACCGTCGTAAGACTTCTGACTACATAAATGTTTCAGAAACTGCTTCCCTTGGACTAGTGGACTTAAAGAATAAAAAAATTGATGTAAACTATGTGAATGTTAAAGAATCCCGACAGAAAAAGATGGAAAGAAAAGGCCAAGTGAGCTGTGACGACGGTACTACAAGTATTAGCAGCGATGAGTCGGCTGTGAATTACTCCATGGTTGTCTTTACTAAGGCAGATAAGTAAAAGATGTGATTAGTAGCCTTTGTCAAAATGGCCTTAAAAGGATCATTCAGAAAGGAAAATTCTGTCATCATTTACTCAACCTCAGGACATTTCTTCTCCCGTGGAACCAAAAATATTTTGAAGAATGTTTTCGCCCATCAAATGCTATACTGTGATAACAAGCATGCTCCTTTTTAGCATTGACACTTGCTTTTCCACCCCCAAACATAATTTGTATTTAGGGCTGGAGGGAAACCATAAAAATCTCACATGATGTAATACACCATTTCTCAGGAACATTGTTATAAAAGGACCATTTTTGAATATAACTTTGATATATCCCAGTACCACCACATTTAATATGTGATTTTTATAGATGTAATATTTTATATTTGTCACATCAAAATACCAATATTATGATGGATCCCATCAACTTGCACTGACAGTGTCCTACCACTTGGTGGTATCAATAGCTCTGCATGCATGTAGTAAACACGATGAAAAGCCTATTAGGATGTGAAATTTGTGTTAAATGAGAAAATCTGACTTTTCCAGGTTACAAGTGCTATAATCAGGTCCCCGGTGCATCTACCAACCAAGGAAACGTGAAAAAGATTAACCCAGTAACTTTGTTTTGGTAAGCCTTTTTCTGCAAGCGTCTGAGAAAACGAGCGCGTCTGATTTCGCTCCCTTGGTGACGTGGCAAAGGGATCTCATTATAATATTACCGCCCCGTAATCTGTAAGTTTCCACCCATGGCGCCATCAATTTGATTTCGCAAGTGACAACGGTGTACCAGCTCTAATGCCATGGCGAAAGTTTGAGCAAAACATGCTAACTGTTCTGTCTTTGGCTGCACAGACGAGCACAGAACACTATTTAGAGTCCCAGCCTCAGAGGAGACAACAGAGCAGTGGATTTATTGATTTATTTACTGTATATTGCTGCTGCCACACAGATCTAAAATAAACAAGCGATTTATTTCCCAGCTGTTTACCTTCACAGACATAACCGACTGTTTTTGTAACTCGTGTGTTTTTAACGTAAACTTGAATGAGAATGAGAAAGCTGTATATCTGAATTTTAAACTCATATGTCTTAATTGCTCTAATTTTTGATGTTGAAGACTTCAATATGTAAAAAGTATTGCAATGTCTTTATGATAAAAAAGGAATGTTTTTAATTTCTTGTGCACTGAAAGTTTGACTACTGAAACCTCACATCAATAAACTTCTCTAGCCTTATTACCACACCGTTTGAGACCTTTTATGGTAGATTTCAGTTTAAACACCACAAGAATTACATTTCAAACAATTAGGGCTGGAGGAATGCTGACAAAATGTTTTCAGTCTCTTTTTGTTCTCTCATATCTGCATATGTAGAGAGACCAGGGTACTAGGGTTTTTGAATTAATACTTTTTGTGTGTGAATTATGTCTGCTAAACATTTTTGTCATTAGCATGTTTTGTTATAGCTAATATGTATGCTTAGCTCCATATTGATATCTTATATTGCAAATTAGAAACAATTTTTTTTACGCTACTACCGGTATTTCTATTTTTGCCCCACTCTCTCCTGTAAGATCTGTTGTTTTTATCATTGTCTTGGTGATGATTCTAGTTACTCTTACTCTTTTGTATAGTATGTGAATAAAAAGAAACTAATGTCAAACTGATATCTCACTAACAGACACGCTATTGGTTTTGTGAAATCTTCAAATAACAAGTGTCCTTTACAGTTTCCTTTCCCAGCATGACTCATCATTTAAATGCCTTTATGCCTAAAAGTGTTTTTATTGGATAGTTCACCCAAAAATGTGAGTTTTGTCATTATTTACTAACCCTCGTGCCGTTTAAACCCATGTGACTTTCTTCTGTGAAACACAAAAAGGAAAAGTTGTCCCAGTTGCTCTTTTCCACACAATTAGTCGGAGATGCAAAAGCACAATGAAAGTATCATTATACTGGTCCTTACAATGGTATATGGGTTTGGAAACACAAGGGTTGTAAATAACAACAGTATTTCCATTTTTGTGTCAACTAATTCTTTGCACATACTTCTGCCCTATCTATTATTGTTTTATTAAAGTCATATGTTAGAGGAGAGAAGCAGCATGTGACTTGAAAGCAATGCAATAATGCACATCTGAGACAAGACAGAGACGTGAAGAAAAAAAACCCTAACCAATTAACATGAGATTGTTTTATTGTATATAGTTTTAATGAAAAACACACTGTTAATGTTGACTGTACCTAACCGCACTATAAAGCACCCACTTTAATCTGTTTTACTCCTTTGTTTATTGGTACTGAATAAAATATATTGTTGTTAGATTCCTTTTATCAATATGTGACCCTGGACCACAAAACCAGTCTTAAGTTGCTGGGGTATATTTGTAGCAATAGCCAAAAAAACATGGGTAAAAAAAAGATCATGTTCCATAAAGATATTTTGTAAATTTCCTACTGTAAATATAATAAAACTTAATTTTTGATTAGTAATATGCATTGCTAAGAACTTTAAAGGCGATTTTCTCAATAAATGTTTTTTTTGCACCCTCAGATTCCAGCTTTTCAACTAGCTGTATCTCGGTCAAATATTGTCCTAACAAACCATACATCATGAGCGAAGCACATCATTAGATTAATTATTAAATTCTGACATAAAGTCGACCCTAGAATGTGGCTTCATTCCACCTGCCCTGTATATACAGTATATATTTATTTATTTATATACACTCCATATATATTTGTGTGTTTGAATATCCAGATGAGTACAATCTTAACTGATATGAAAGAAAAAAAAGAACTGTCTTCTCTTTTTCTAAGAATTAATGATATTTTCAGTTCAACATTTCATGGTCAGATTGCCAAGTCAATATGTGCAAAGAGAAGATGAATGTGTCAAGTTTAGTTTGTGCAGGAATGCTTAAAATATTTTCATATTTCATACCAATGGACCATCTGCCAGATCAATAATTTCCTGTTCTAGTACTATATCCTAGTTGTAGACACCTTTTGAGCAATAAAAAATGTATTTTAAAATGTATTGTAATTCCATATACAGAATGAGAAAAAACAACCTGCTGACATTTTGCCTCCCAATTTATGGTTTGTTTTGAATAAATATTTAACTCCATCATCTCTGGGTTTCTGTTCTCCATGATGTGTTTTTCTTTCATATTGGAAACTTCAAAGAATGTTGAATTTCTGTTTGAACAAGATCACTTGGGACACCTGACTGAAAAGACCACCAGAGCTAGTCACCAGCATATGTTTTGGCTACTGGTCACAGCATGTTTCTTAGGCTAGACCAACTCCAGACCAGCACTGACCAAGATGCCGTTCTAAGCGGGTCTTTTCAGCAGAGCAAAAATGAATTGTGAGTCACTTACTTTTTGCTGTCTGTAAATCAGGACAGTCATGAGCAGAAGTCCACCACACCCTAATGTAATTATGAGCACGGTGCCAAAAGAGATGATTGTACTGCTGGATTGTTCTGTGGCAGAGTTCCAGTGTGTTTCTCTGTCTGGATGAGTCTGGTCTTTCACCTCCTGCCTATCCTCCTGGGATCTGCTGTCTGTGAAAACCAAAGGCATCTTTGGTGACTCATCACAGAATTAATAACACATGACTGAAGAGAAACATGTTTGATGTCTACTATTCAGGTAGAACAGTTAATTGATATAAAGCTTAAATAAAATAAAGTATAAAACTTTAAACAAAAACTAAAAATAAATTAAGCCTAAATAGTGATATTAAAAAATGATAAAAGCACACAACAAAATGACAAAAATTTAACTAAAATTAAAATGGAAATGGAAAACACAAAAATAAAAGCTAATTCAAAATATTAATAAAAAGTAATAAATAATACTAAAATAACGCTACTATCCTTCTCACCTTTGCTGAGCTTCGCCTCATGGATGGTTCTCATTAAATTCCTTGGCACCCTCACCGGACTTTGGGTGTGTGTTTGGAAATTTTCAGGAGGGCTGTTTAAATGACCTGGCTGTTCAACAAGGTTGCGCAGGCCTTCTGATGAATGCGCAGCTGCTTTCAAAGACAGAACTGTGGTTGTGACTGGTACAATGTGTTTAATCAGTTGAAGCATTTGGGAAGGCTTGCCTTTTATCTCTGTGGTCTTAATATCTTTATATGTTGGCTCAGATGTTGCAGTAACCCAGTTCTGTGATAATTTCACATAGGAACTTGATGGTGCTTCTTGGCTTTTGGAATCTAAAGACCTCTTGGCAAGTAAAAGCGGTGCACTCCTCTCCACACTGTCCTGCGTGCTATCGCTTTTTTGATTGGGGCCAGAAGAGGTTGACTCAGCTCTTGAGTCAGTTCTGCTCGGAAATACATCCTGGAAATTTGTAAGTGAAGGGGAAAGATCCAGTGATGGCAAATGGTCCATCTCTGAATTTGAAGTTTCTTCATGAAAAGCTGGAGTGCTACCAAAGAGGAAGTTGGATAAATCTCCTTGTGTTGATCTCCATGTGGCAGGCGTCTCTAGAGCTAGAGGGAGAGCAGACTTGAATTGTTTAGTTCTTTCATTACCACCCTGCAAGGTTACCACAGATGAAAAGGATGATCTTTGTGAGGATGGAGTAGGTTTCAGGTTAATATTCCAATGGCTTGTGGATGCAGATGTCTTAGATGATCCAATGCTCACTGTTGGACAAATGCAGGGGCAATCGGAGGCACCTAGAGGAAATGTAATGGAAATGTAATACAAATTATTATAAAAACACAACTAAAGTAAGATTAGCTGGGGCTTCGCTAATCTTTTGCTAATGAGATTAATTTTGAGAGCCTGTTATGCTCTATTTAAGGTTCTTTCCCCCTTTTTAATGAATTTCATTTGTATTACACTTGTTGCTTGTCTGTGTTGTGTGGTCCAGATAGACAAAAACGTTGATTCGTTCAAAAATGAAACAAGTGATTGCTTATGAATCAGTCTTGGATCATTTCATCTAATGATTCATTCAAAAACACTAAAAATGAATTAGTTCAGAAATGAAACGCCATTATGGTGTGTTGCTCGGAGGCGCTCAATGATTCCACTTCAGCTTCATTATAACTTTTCATAGGCGGTGCAAAAGTGGAAAAAGTAACTGGCAACATTGCGTCTAAAATGTAAGTCACTCAGTATTATAGGGGTTATTCACAGCTGGCAAGATGGGCTTTTGATAAAATGTGTCTGTCTGTGCAGTAGAAATGCATTTTTTTTTTTTTTACATCTGTGCTACTTGACAAGAGAAAACAGAGAAAAGGGGCTATGGAGTTTACATTTTGCTAGAAAGGTAGGGAAATTTCAACAGAAATAATACACTGACTGCCACCCCCCATCGAAATGCATTCAGAAATGCATATTAAGTATGAAGTATGAAAAACCCTGAAGCTGCCAAAAGCTCACCGGATAATGCCAAGTGACATATTTTTATTAACAAATAAACAGGTAGATCTGGTTGCAGGTAACATGGAGAAAAAGTAAACATTGTTCATTTACATATAAGTTGGTTGTAAATTGGCAAATTTGTTCTTTAACTTCTTGTTAAACTGTTGTGTAAAAGTTCTCGAAATCTTGCGAGCCCGATAGCGTATACTGTAATTTAAGATGATTACTGGACTCAGCAGTTGTGCTACCTGCTGTTTGGCTGAGAGGTTCAGTGGTGGATTCTGGGAAATCTTCTGTGTACTCTTCCTCACAGTTCCAGTCCACAGGTTTGTCGCTCTGAGTCATCAGACCCATATACATGCGAATCACTTCCTCAGCTTTCTCCAAAGCTCCCCTGGGCAAAGTCATGTGGGTTCTTAAGAACTTCATTGGGCTATCCTGTAGGGTGAAAAACATGTTTTTTTCCAGAAGAATTAGGCTATTACTCTCTGCAGTGTACTGAACGCCAACAACTGGGAAACCAGGTGGCAGGCTACACAGGTCATTGTAAAATTATTTTCATGCAAAGTTTTAATTCAAGCAGACCATTAAATAACATATCCATTGCCTTTTGAGGTTAAAACAATTTTAGCGCGGGGCCCGGTGCGACCTCACCAGTTGCACCCACCTGAGGACGGCCCTGATGACACCCATATCTGTTAATTAAGTAAACAGACAGGTTTTTATGCATAGTTAATAGACTACATTATTAGGTTACTTTGACCATCGTCCACTATAGATCAACATCTATAAAGGTGAGAATCAAGATATTTCATGATATAGTTAATGCGTTTGGGAATGTTTCGAATAAACAGGAAAAAAATTAATAAAACATGTGCTGTTGTGACTGCTGTGTGTCACCTGACGACCACCCCCTTTCGAATAAGAAAAAAATTAATAAAACATGTGCTGTTGTGACTGCTGTGTGTCACCTGACGACCACCCCCCCCAACTCGTGCCCCCTCGAAAATAATGAGTGCATGAGGCCCCTGGCCATGGCAATCATCTATGATTTAATTAGGACTGCAACTGGAAAGGTTTCCTCTGGACTTTTTTTAGACATGCTGTAGTACAAATAATGTATGTGGCTGATACATATCACATAAGCATGTGGTCCAATTAACTTCATGTTGACAGAAGTTAACTTAAAATAGGCACAACTCTGAATTCCATGTGACCAGGTTGTATAACTAGTCATTGTTTCTGTATTATGTTTTCAAAATGTTCGTGGCCACTTTAAGAGATTTCCTTTGTTTTCTCATTCTCTCGCGGTATTGTTTGTGTGCTTTGGACACGTGCGCGCGATCAGAGAAGCCATTTAGAGCTCCACGTAGTGCTCACATCTATCTAATTTACCATGTGATAAAATCATCTTTCTAGGTAAATATCACTGTGATGTCTTTAATGTGTGTGTGACGTGTTTTCTACCCTATGTAAAACATGGTAAAGTGGCTTTGCTAATGTTCTTTCATTTCTCTTGTGCCTTAGCCACTGCCGTACTTTCACCCCATTTTATTTAATTTTTTTACCCTTTTATTAATTAGCTTAAATCTGGTGACTTGACATTTTATCCTACCCGTCAGATTGTCCTACCAGGGTTTACTAGGCATGCGCACATCAATATTGGGTCCCTTTTCTCACGCTGAACAACAATATTTAATGTATCTGCATTACTGTAAGGGTAGGTTTAGGGTTGGGGTAGGTGTAGACTTTAATAAAACACAATCTAATAGGTAGAAAAAACGTTATAGGTAGGTAGGTAGGTATGGATGTGAGTCTTGCAGATCACTGATGGAACGGTAGAGCACATTCAGGGGCTCCTTAGTATTTGCACTAGGTGGAATATACACTGCTGTGATGATGATAGTTGTAAATTCCCTAGGCAGGTAAAAAGGTCTGCATTTAATAGACAAAAACTCTACATCCAGAGAACAATGACTTGAGACCACTGCGGCATTGTTACACCAGCTGTTGTTTGTGTAAATACACACACCGCCACCTCTTGATTTTCCACTGAGAACACAGCTCCTGTCTGACCTGAATATTGTTAGCCCCTCGATACTCACGGCGTCATCCGAAATGGAAGGGTTTAGCCATGTTTCCGTCAGAATTATGGCACAACAGTCTCTCATCTCCCGTTTAGTAGTTAGGTCCAGCTTCAGATAGTCCAATTTATTCTCCACGGAGCGGACATTAGCAAGCAGAATGGATGGAAGCGGCGTTCTGCATGGGTTAGCCTTTAGCTTAGCTGTTAATCCTCACCGGCTGCCGCGCCTCCGTTTCCTATCGCACCGCCTCCGTCTTCTCTGGGAGCGGCCGGTGCCTGTGGGAGACTTCGATGCTTCATAGGACGCTGGGTTTAGCTGGCGTAGCAGTCCAAGGCCACGCAGAGTGTCCAGAGTGATTGTGTCTACGATCCCTGAACTGCTAACTTTACGTAATTCTAACATAAAATGACGATCATATATTAGTTTAGCTCTGCTATGCTGCATATAAACTGCTGAACTCACTTGTCTAAGTGGCTTATTTCCTGTTAAATATCCGATACTATCGGGAGCCAGTGCGGCCGCAGCCAAACAGGGTGCCGCCATCTTCAAACAACAAGACTACATTATATAACTCTAACAGTAGGCTATTTAATATCTGTTGTTCTCCGGTTGGCAGTCAGAATGACAGCTCTTGCGTGAACATAGGCCTATATATACCCAAGCCAATTTATTATTCTTTCCTTTTTGTCTTAGTGTTTAAAGTATTTATGTTTAAACTAATTAATTAATTAATTAATTAATTAGTTTAAACATAAATACTTTAAACACTAAGACAAAAAGGAAAGAATAATAAATTGGCTTGCCTTCTAGCCACAACCGCAAATATAACACATAATTACTGTATTTGCATTACTATAAGGGTAGGTGTACACGTTAATAAACCATCATTTTACAGGTAGCATTTTTCGTTGTCGAATTGTACTACTCACTGTTTTAATGGGAGGTCGCAAAATCTGACAGCTACAAATCGACAGAACACCAGTGTGTTTCAGTGCAGTCCGCTGTTGTTCAGTGCATGTAGTGTTACAGATTTCATTCTGTATCTCCTATATTTTATTTGATTTGGCATCTATCTACTGTGATATATTTTGTGATATTTTATTCAGTATCATTCAGAATTACTGCACACTGTGTCAGATTTGTTTGGTGTGTGTAACTGGTAACATTTTTCTTTTGGTGGATTTCTAAAAGAAAACAAAAAAAAAACATTGCAAGTAGAAATAGTTCCCCCAGTTACATCCTTATTACAGAAAATGGCCAGAATTCAACATTTAGTAAAACATTTTAGCAATACAGTTCAACATTACTGCAAGGAAATCTGTTTTAATAAAGTCATTGTTAACAAAAGTCAACAAAATCATTGTTGCCAAAACCCCTAGCTACTGTCCAAGACTCTTGGTTTCTTGACTTTTTCCACTTGAAACTTTATACAAGTAAAATTTATGTACCTAGAATTCAATGCCTAATGTTTCTGCTTTTTTCTTTAAGCTGCAAGATGTTTTGTTATTTGTCATTTAAAAGACTTGCAGTTATTTGGTATAATTATCATTTATCATTTATCACAAACATTTGTATGAGGTATTTCTAAGCAGCTTTATACAGTAGTTACTCTTTCATTTCCTGTTGATTATTTGTTTGCTTTTGTTACATTTGTAGACAATTATGCTGTTAAACACAATAACGTATGAAACTTACAGAAGTACGAGGCAAATATCTTCTTCCATAATCCTATTTGTAACTAATAGACAATTTTAAGCACCACTGCTTTCAAAGAGAATAAAAATGGACTTTGTTACCTCAATCTCCTCATTGATTGGAGGGATGCATCTCTGGGAGTAAATGTTGTAGATCAAGTTCTTCAGAGAATTAGTATAGCGGTAATTGTCTGAGTCCTTAGCATATCTGAATTGGGTGTTGAGTAGCTCCAGTATATGAGGGAAAGCTGCTTTAACATAACACACAACACTCTGGAACACACAAACATATGACAAACACAATGAGCATTCGATATTATCACACACATTGATGTTATTCAGACCTGGGTCACACATTATAACACACAGGCCTATTTTTAATTTGTTATACACCATGTTTCTTTATACTACATTTTGTGAGTTTTTATCCCTTTTGTAATACAAGCTTTCCAATAGACAGTGATAATAAATTTCATGCTTCATATCAAACCCGCTCTTTCTTGCACTCCATTTGAATGCTGATGAGGAGTCTCAAATCTCTGCAGAAGGCTACATGTACATGTGGCCATCAGCACTCTTTCTTTCTTACAAATGAGGGAGGAAATGTTCGCTGCATTCCCTAAAATAAATTGTCTCTACATTGTCTTCAATTGTCTTTAACTTTACAGCGCTTGCTCAGTAGGTCCTCTGCAGTGAATGGGTGCCATCAGAATGAGAGTCCAAACAGCTGATAAAAACATCACAGTGATCCACAAATAATCCAGTCCATCAATTAATGTCCTAAGAAGTGAAAAGTTGCTTGTTTGCAAGAAGAAAATCCACCATGAAGGCATTTTAAAACCTAAAAAGTCACTTCTTGCCAAAATACCAGCCAGTAAGCCGTAATAACGCTTCCTCCAGTGAAAAAGTCCATCCCCTGTTATAGATGGTCCTAAAATTTTCAACAAACAGTTTGAAGTTAAAAACATACAAACAGCTAGCTCTTCATAAGATTTTAGTTGATGGACTGGAGTTGAGTTGAGTTGTGATGTGATGTTTTATCAGCTGTTTTGTCACTGACATTTCCTGCAAAGGCTTACTCATATAGTATTTGGGTGGAGTGGAACTTATCCATACAGACTTTCAGTAGTTTCACACAAATAGCACAGGGAAAGTACCCTCAGGGAGAAGTGACTTGGTCAAACACAATTACAGCAGAATTATTGCTGGCTTGCCTAGTTTGGGAGCCTGAAATCTTTGAATTGTCACTTCAACTGTTACCACCATTCTCACAGTCAGAGATTCAACATGCATTCTTCAAATATAAGGGATATCTGGCCATATATAAACAATTCCTGCTGAATTGCAGGGATCCCAAAACACATCTGTGTCCAGAGCAGTCTTCAAGCTGTGATCTTTCAAACTCTTAACATGACTGATGGCCTTGTAAATTTCCAAAAGCATGTTTCGACTATTTCACCATTTTTGCTCTGCCAGTGGTCTCCTTCAAGTAAACGTTTCCTCTTCACACTTCACATGCACCATGCTAAGAGTTTGAAAGCCTTTATAAACAGACTCTCTCTGACTTCAACAATCAGTAAAAATTGCTTAATTTGATAACGTTTAATTCATGGTGCTAAAGAGTGTGATTAGCTTCAAACTTCATCATGTGAGAACACTGGCAGTGTAAATAAGGCATGACATATTCACACTGATAAGAGGTGATGCATTTGTGTGTTAAGGTTTTATGTAAACTGAAAAATGAAATAAACAAAAAAAAATTTAATTATAATTGCTCGTTTCTTTATAAAAGTACTGATAGGCTAAAAAAAATCTTGTCCACTTTGAAAAAATCTGAACCACTTTGCTTTAACAAATACATTGACCAGAATTCTTTTGTCCAGGGCTTACTAAAATAAACACATGAAGTAATTAATGTGGAAGATAAATGACAAGAAGACAAAAGGATGTTTATTTCTACTGACAACAGCAAACTTGCAGGAGACAGCTATCTTCACTCAGATATCTCGTAAATGGTTCTTGTAAGTGTGCAACCATCTCACCCCTTCCCCCAAAACTCCCTTGGCCATATTAAAAATCTGGGGCCCTGAGCGATGCATTCAAAACTTTTTTGGAGCTCTGGACCAAGTGAGCAAGTAGACTATTCTGAGACAATCCACTGACACCCTGTCTGCCTTATCCAGCCCCAGTTAGCTTCAGTGGCTTTACACATTAAAGTACTTTTGTACAAAACAAGCTAACTAAATACTATAACAACAGACACAATATACATACTGTATTACAGTCACAACATGATGTCAACACTATAGTCATAGTATGGCTCAGCATTTGTGCAGTTTATCAGTTCAAACCAAATGAGTATGAGGAAAAAAAATTATAAAATGTCCAAACAATCAGTCTCTGCTGAAGCAATGAAACAAACCGCAACGACCCACAGGACTTGCTCCCGCAACTTTTTATTCTATAACTGCCTTAATACCCCAAGACTTATTTCTATTTTATTACCAATTGGACAATATTGTCGTCGCACACATATCGGTATCAAATTATGGCAGCTAAATCAGCAAAACAAGGCAAAAAGTTTCAGAAAGTTTAGGTGTGCGGAGATGACGGTAAAGATGTTAGCATGGCAGCTATATCTATTATCTAACCTCCTGGAGGAACGCCGGTCTGCTCTCTTTAGTGACTTTAAAACCACTGTTTCGACACTCAAGGTAAAGCTGGACCAAATTCAAGCTACCATGATGGAACACGCCTCGAAGATTGCTTTGCTTGCAAATTCACAGGACAAGTGCACACATGCCTTAGAAACTACCTGTGCTATGTTAACAGAGAGCAACGCTAAACTGCTTGCCAAAGTTCTGGATCTCGAGTCCTGTAGCCGGCGTAACAACATAAGAATTATTTGACTACCTGAATCCAGTGAAGGACCTCAGCCCTCTGTCTTCTCAGAGCTACTCGCAGAAGTGTTTGGGGATGGAGTCCTGGAATCTCCGCTAAAATGTGATATAGCACATCGGTCGCTGTCTGACAAACTGAGGCCGGGGCAGAGGCCTAGGCCTGTTATGGTCTGGCTTCACAAGTTTCAGCAGAAGGAAAAGATAATTCACAAGGCCAGAGCGGCACTCCTATTGCTATCTATGAGAACTATGCTCTGCGGGTGCTGGAACAACATTCCAAGTACAAAGAAGTGCTGTCTGAACTTTACAAACTGGGCCTAAACCAGCGCTTTTGATCCCGGCCTGGAGGGAGGGAGATAGGAGAAGGCTTGCATCAGTTGCTGAAGCCAAGGACTACATTGCATCTTTACGTTCTGCTGAGGACTAAACCCGAAGCGACTGATACAGTAATTTGTGGCTGGTTCGGTTAGTGACTCAAGATGCAGCATTCGCTAAATGTTTTGATTCCTATAAAGATTTAAGTGGCTGACTGGTTATCGCTTGGTTGTTGCATATGAATATGCCTATGTTCTGTTTATTCAAGATTTATAGATACCTCTCGTTAGACATTATGGATGGGCTGTGTACACCCTCGTGTTCACTTAACCTGTTAGTTTTTAAGATTTCTCGACTGTTACACACCCGCCTTTTAGACTTTGCTGTGGCGCCTACAGTATGTCCTTTGATAATTCTTTAGATTGGTTCTGTATCCTTCATGTTTATATTATTTGTATATCCAGTGAATGAACATTATATATGGGTATATGTACATAATTTAATTTTGATTAAGTTATGTTTGGATGTGCTCTTATTTATTATTATTAAATCTGTTTTATTTATTTATTCATTTTATTCACTTTGTCACGCAACGTGTAGAGGAAAGGCACATGAAGACGAAGGTCATCTACCCAAGAGTTTGATAGAATCCAAGAAGATGATAATCCATGAAGGCAAAGGGAACACGCAGCAAAACAACATCAAGTAGACTCAAGACCGGACAAAGACTGGAACTGAGAAGGGAACTTATGTACGGTGACTAACGAGGGGTAGACAGGTGATGAAGATTAACTAATGATGAACTAATTAAGGAAACTGAACAGGCATGAAGACAGAAACTAACTGAAAACACAACAAAAGCCAATAACTGTGACATAACTCCCCCCTCCCCAAGGCGCGTCCTCGAAGGACGAGGTGGTGGCGAAGGGCAGGAAGAGAGGTAGGCAGAAGACCCGGGAGGAGCAGACGGAGGGAGGATCCAGGACGGAGACAGGAGGAGCCAGGGAGAAGACAGGAGGGACTTGGAGCAGGAGGAGCCAGGCGGGACCCAGACCGCAGCCATGAATGCAGCCCACGGTGGAGCCGATGGAGGGAGGAGCCATGGTGTAGGAAGGGCTGATGACTCCAGGGGGCCAACCGACAGCGGCGGAGCAGGTGGGAGAGGAGCCCGGGGTGACGGGGAGGATCCGGAGGGCCAAGGCAGAGCAGTTGGCTCAGGCGACCAAGGCGTAGGCGGGGATCCGGAAGGACATATATATATATATATACAGTGGGTACGGAAAGTATTCAGACCCCCTTAAATTTTTCACTCTTTGTTATATTGCAGCCATTTGCTAAAATCATTTAAGTTAATTTTTTTTCCTCATTAATGTACACACAGCACCCCATATTGACAGAAAGAAACAGAATTGTTGACATCTTTGCAGATTTATTAAAAAAGAAAAACTGAAAAATGCTCAGTATTTAGTAGAAGCACCCATTTGATCTAATACAGCCATGAGTCTTTTTGGGAAAGATGCAACAAGGTTATATCCACTGGATTTGGGGATCCTCTGCCATTCCTCCTTGCAAATCCTCTCCAGTTCTGTCAGGTTGGACGGTAAACGTTGGTGGACAGCCATTTTTAGGTCTCTCCAGAGATGCTCAATTGGGTTTAAGTCAGGGATCTGGCTGGGCCATTCAAGAACAGTCACAGAGTTGTTGTGAAGCCACTCCTTCATTATTTTAGCTGTGTGCTTAGGGTCATTGTCTTGTTGGAAGGTAAACCTTAGTTCCATATATATATATATATACTGTATAAATGTACTGTCTTAAAGCTTTTGTCCGAGGTCAGATTATTTCACTCACTTCACACCTGCGTAAGGCTGAAAGGCCTAAAAGGCAGGACATTAGATAAGGTCCTTAAACGTGGTGAAACATACACCATCTCTTCATCCCCCACTCTTTACAAAAAACATTACAATCGGAATATGACTGTCTAATGACACATGATGTATACTGTTTTGGTTAAAGGATACTCACTGCCTTGACAACTACAACAAACCAAGCAGTCTTTTTTCACTTTTAGCCCGCTCAACAGGCTTGTGCAGCCAGTATCTTTAGGCTTATTCCAATAATTATTTCCCCGAGTGGCAATCTTACTACACATCTGGCTGAAATCAACAAAGTTTTTTTTAGATTTCTACATTAACCTTTATAAGTTCGAGCACTCTTCAGGTTCAGAAACTATCCCCAACCCCTTAAACCCTAGAATTAATGAAGACATGGCTTAAGAATTATGCAGCCCCATTTCCCCTCAGGAGGTCCAAGAAGCTAATTATAGATTAATGCAGAATGGGAAATTTCCAGGCCCTGATGGGTTTACAGTTGAATTTTATAAGGCATATTCTAATTTACTAGTCCCAATTTTGGTGAGGATGTATAATGATTCCTTTCAAAAAGGTCAACTGTCAGCGACTCTGTAGATGGCATCCTTATCTTTGTTTTTGAAGAGGGACAGGGACCCCACATCCTCTGGTAACTATCAACCGATTTCTCTGCTAAATGTAGATTGTAAGATTCTAGCCAAAGTTCTCTCTCTTTGCCTCCAAGATGTCATGCCATCCATATTTTCTTTAAAACAAACGGGCTTTACATCGGGAAGGCATTCTTTCTTTAAAGGGGTCATCGGATGTCCATTTTCCACAAGTTGATATGATTCTTTAGGGTCTTAATGAAAAGTCTATAACATAATTTGGTTAAAATTTATTTTTTTACCCTACCAAAATCAGCTCTGTTTTCAGCAAGCCATTCTAGTCCATGTTGCTTTAAATGCTAATGAGCTCTGCTGACCCCGCCCCTCTCTTCCGTGGGGTGACGAACAGACTGTAAACTTCAGCCGCGAAACTGGCTAACTAGCACATTATTAGGAGAGGCGATTTGCAAGGATTCATAAAAAACCCTTATACTCACTTCTTCTGTTGATGAAGCTGGATCACGAATGATTCGCGCGAACATAGACGCATTTAGGCAGATCGGGATCGGCGCATTTCCTTCAAAACGAAAGTAACGTTAATCCAACGCTCAGATGTTGGGAGTAAATGATGACTGCTATATTCATTATTACATCCAACAACAAAACACCTCAATCGCTTAATCGGAGACGTTCTTGTCTTCCCCTGCACCGGAGTCAACACAATTGCGGACTGATGACAGCTCACTCAGGGCGGGTCTAAGGTAAGACGCTAGTGTCAATCAACTATCGTGGGAGGGGCCTGTGCAGAACTACGTCATTCTGACAGGAATCTCAGAACAGCCTGATTTGAGAAAGGGGATTTTAAAATAGGGATTTTTAAAAAAAACACTGAGTGGATTTTTATCATTATAGGATGGATGTGTACACACACTTCCAACACACATTTATGTTCAAACAACTTGTAAAGTGAATTTTGCAGCCGATGACCCCTTTAATACTAGAAGATTACTCAACATTTTCTCTCCTTCATCCACTACCCCTGAAGTTATAGTTTAATTGGATTACCCAACTGATGTAATACCTTTTATATGTCTGCAAAAAAATATATTTTTTAAACTTCTTGTAAAAATACAGTAAATAAGTAATATTGTGAAATATTGATGCTCTTTAAAATAGCTTTTTACTATCTTAATATCTTTTATTCTTGTGATTGTAAAGCTGAATTTTCAGCAGCCATTACTCAAGTCTTTAGTGTCACATGATCCTTCAGAAATCATTTCTTCTTATTTATTTTATTATTATTTCTTATTAATGTTGAAAAGAGTTGCTGCCTAATTTTTTTGTGGAAATCGTGATATATTTTTTTTTTTTAAACTTCTTGTAAAAATACAGTAAATAAGTAATATTGTGAAATATTGATGCTCTTTAAAATAGCTTTTTTCTATCTTAATATCTTTTATTCTTGTGATTGTAAAGCTGAATTTTCAGCAGCCATTACTCAAGTCTTTAGTGTCACATGATCCTTCAGAAATCATTTCTTCTTATTTATTTTATTATTATTTCTTATTAATGTTGAAAAGAGTTGCTGCCTAATTTTTTTGTGGAAATCGTGATATATTTTTCATCAGAATTATTTGATGAATGGAAAGTTAAAACATTCAGCATTTATTTGAAATATAATTTTTTTGTAACATTATTAGTGTCTTTACTGCCAAATTAATTCTTAAGGCCGTTCCACAATGAACGCGATGCGAAGAAGCGACGAACAGTGCTTTTCACATTGAGCACGAAACGATTGTTCGCCTTCTGCTAATTCACGCCTGCACGCTAGGTGGCGCCGACCAGCAATGCATTTTTCTCATTTTCTCATATCTCATTTATGGATTTAACATCGTCCACAATATACAGCATTAAATTAATATAGCTAAATAAAGTTAGGTTCTACGCCAGAAACACAAACTATCTATAATGCTTACAAGAAAACATCAGAAAAAATACATAGACGTAGCTACAATTAGCATCAAGCCTCATTTGAAAATGTATGTAATTATTAATGTATTTGCTTAAAACCCACTTTAAACCATCATCGAGTGCTTGTAATAACTCCCGATTGTGCTCTATAGTTGATTTTGATTTCAGGCAGACATGCACTCTTTGTATGCCACACTGCTTATTGTCATAAACATCCTTTATTGTTATAAAAATACCATGAGCTGTATACAAAGCTGTATATCGTCATAATCATATGTCTACTTGCTTTCATATTTCAAGTGTAGAAAAATGTTTCCCTCGATTTTATTAATATGGAAGATCTAGAGTGAACGCGCTCTGACTCATAACACTCGCGCACGTGGAAGAAAACGGACACTCCAGATCACATAATTCAGTGGATAATTAATATAAATTATATTAAGAACATGTGAGAAAAAAATATGTTCTTAGATATCAAAGATAACAAAAACTAGGCATCCACTCTCTTCTATCTCAGGATACTCTTCTTCTGTGTTATAGTTTAAACTGGTTTTCGAAACAGCGCCACCACTCTTGCCTTTTTGTGCAACAGCAGCCGCTCCGGGCACGTGTTGTAATGCTCAAATCTTATTGGACGGCCCGTGTTTTCGCTTTGCGAAACTGAAAAGATTCGTCGGACTGATTTG